GTTGCTGACGACATTCATAATTTATCTTTTTTGGCATTCTTTTCATATTTTAATAATAAACATTTTGAAATATGAAATTTCTATTATTATTAATATTTTATGGTCTTATAAATTAAAATTTTAACATTTTAAATTAATTTTTAATATTGCAATTAAACAATAGAAAATAAATCATTTGAAAAATATATTTAAAAAAAAATATTTCTTTTATAAAATATTTTTAAAGGTAAGTTAGTTTTTGAAAACAAACAAAATTGTAAATTTATGATTGAGGATGGAAAGGAGAAAAGTGGAAACTTCGAGTTTAGGAGAAATGATCCCTAAACTCTTAGAAAAAGTTTTACATTTTTGTATAATCAAAGAGGCACTAATTAGCCGTAGTGAGACACAATTAGGGGATATGTTCCCTTGGAAAAGCCTGCTTTGTGCCTTTTATGTTTGACTTTCCGCATAAAGTCTGCCAAATTTAGGTTAAACCCAACAAGAGGAATCATGAGGACTCTTTTACTTGATGATTCTCACTACATACGAAATAAATTTCTCTTTCTATGGGAAAAGCGAGCAACAGCTTGGACTTTCTTATTTTATTTTATTTTCATTTGGCCTTAAAAGGAGTTAAAAGGAGCTAGCTAGCCTATATCTTGTGTCCATCATTCATGTTATCTTGTTGGGAAGAATATTATTACCTTTACTATATGTTTTCAGGAATATATATGTATATAAATCATAAACAAAATATGAATTGTGCTTCTATTTGTTTCATATGTAGAAGTCCTAATATTGATGGATACAAAATTAAATAAAACTTATTGCATTTTCATAGACTTCATTGATAAGCTCTATGTATACTTGTCTCATGTATGACATAAAAATTGAATATCATTATTTTGGAATATATTTTAAAAAAATTGAAATATTCATTATTTTGAATATATATATATATATATATATAATATATATACATATTAATTGAATTAAATGCAAATTGTGTGTAAATTAAGCATATACATATTAATTGAATTAAATGCAAATGTGTGTTAAATTAGCTGGGAAGGTTGAATTCTGTGGGGTGCATTATTTGCAAGTAGTTCATTGAATGGTAGAAAAGCTAACAAGTGATCAGATATATGGATAAGAGAAAAGGAGTCACAAAGTTTGAATGTTCCTAACTAATGCAGAGTGGTTGAGGAGCTCCATATGACAGACAGGTTGTCAAAGCATCAACAATTTAATGCCCCATTCTATTGTAAATGGAAATGGTATGGTAGCTCTTTGTAAATATATTTCAACAGAAAATGAAATAAAAGTATTTTCATTAATGGCTTGAGGGATATTTCTATGTTTTGGTACTGCCCTTGAGGGCATGTTATTTATAATATGGTTCAACTAATTTCATTTTGTTTTTCCTTGCCATTGTGTTTTTTTTTTTTTTTTTTTTAAGTGAAACTTAGATTATGGTTCTTTATCTTACAAAATACAATTAGTCAGTTCTTGTATTTTTGAAAATATACTAAAAATCTATCAAAAAATTTATTGGATTAACATAAATAATTGCATTTTCTAGTTGAAACCTAAAATTGTCAATTCTATTTGCACAAGCGAGTGGAACACTATCTGGTTAAGAATCAAAAAACAAATTGGTACTACCAAGACTAGTCCCTGTCGAATAGGATTAGTCAAAATCTAATTTTTCACGCATTGAAAACCCCCAAATCGTCAACAGAAACAAAATTACTACCAACATAGAACCAATATTAATATGCCCTATCATTATCTCTAATCAAAATATCTAAACCGGCGTTATCAAATTTGGAGTTTGAATAACATTTTCATATCATTTCATTATATAATGTAAATGAAGTGAGTTTCATATCGCAAAATAGCAACAAAATTCTTGGTAATCAACTATATCTATATATGGAGCACTTCTATCAAAGATCAGAAGCTTTGCCCCTTCAAGTTGGAGTTTTGCATATAGAATTTCTTTAAATACTCAGAATGAAACGTTTTATTTCTTTTGTGAGCTTATTCAATCTGAATCCAGATTAATTGGATCAGTGAATTTCGGATATTTGATAATTAAAAACTATATATATAAATAAAAGAATTAAAAGCTTCAATATTAAGATAACTTTTAAAGAATAATAAATAGTCAAATGTAAATATATTATCATTAGGAATACATGAAAAAATGATTTTTAAAATATATAAATTGTAAATCAGCATCATTGCCAGCTCAAAATATAATTTATAAATCATTGTAATATAAAATCTTTGCTTATGAAAGGTCAAAAGTTTCAGAAACCAACATATATAATATAAAATGCTATCTTTATCAAGATTCTAATGGAAATTATAAATCATTCTGTAAAAATGAAAATAAAAATTTATCTCATTTCATTGGAAAACATAAAAATTCATTTTCAATCAAAATAAATTTATATATTTATAACCATTTTTTTTAACTGAATATATTTATTCCATTAACGCATATACCAAATGAAATTATTATAGACCTTGGTACTTCATATAAATTCACGGACCTCTCTTATAGTTAGCAATTACCTAAATATGAAATATTTATGAAGTTCATCCTATCCCTACTTCCAATACATGCTATATGATTATGGTGTTTCATTCTTTGGATCAAATCGGTAAGACATATCGTAAAAAATGTCATATTTTAAAATTATGTTTTAAAAAAATATTAGTTTCATCTTAAATATTTAAATAATATCATTTTCGTTATTTATTTATTATTTTACTCTATTATTGTCGTGGTTATTGTCGTCATCCTCGTCGCTATTGCTGTTGTCAGTTGTCAGTTGTCGTTGTTGGTCGTTGCATCATAGAAGTTGTATAAAAATAGTTTGTGGATTACTCATTTATTTTTTATCAATATTATTCTCTTAATTTATATATTTTTTTGACATTTTATTAATATAAAATCCTAATTTCTAACATTTGTTAAGTTACCCCATAAAATAATATGTTTTTTATTAGCGTTTCAAATTCATTTCTATTGGGTTTATAATTTTTTTATTCTTTAGAAGCTTCAATTTGGGTTTAACACGGGTTAATAGGTTATACATGTTTAGTTTTTAAATTTCGGGCCAGGCCCAACTTTGGTCCAACTTCAAAATTTCCAGCCCGATTTGGGCTCATCCGATTCCATCCTAATTCAAAATTTCAGGGGCAAAAATTCAAAGTTGAATAGTGCATTTCTTTCCTCCAATTATGCGTCATCAGAAAAATTAATTTTTATTAAATAATAGTGTCTCAATGCAAGTTTGAAAAATTAATTATTGTTTAATTAATTAATTTTATTGTTTGATATCACTAAAAAAAATATTGATATTGCCATGGAGGCAACTCTATAGCTATTTTGCTTTCGATTGGCTACGCCTAGAGACAGAAAAATTCTAATAAAAAGAAAGAATAAATGAAAAAATTAGCTATAGAGTTTTGAAGCTATTCTGTAGCGATTTAGCTATGGAAAAAAATTTTGTAGCTAAAATTTGCAATTGTTTTGAGTAGCCATGAAATAGCATCAATATAGCTACATATAAAAATATATTTTAGCGTGAGATAGATAGCTATGAAATTATTCGTAGCTAGAATGTTAGCTACAGATGTATGGTTAATAAAACGACGTTGTTTTAATAAAATTTTATATTCTTATATTCAAAAAGAGGCTTCAAACTTTATAAAGAAACTTAGATTTTCAATCAAACATAACTCTCTTTCTGACATAATCCTATTTTCGTTCATCACTGTCATTCCTAGCAGAGAGTTTTGGCCGGAGGGAGTCTGCTGCAACTTTAGAATTGACAAGAGAGTTTGCGGCAATTGAAAAATCAGTGTTGGGCCTTTTTTGCATAGTAAATGTCTTTTATTTTCTCCATTTTGAGATGATAAACTAATCAACTGCCTTTCTTTCTCTTAACAAAAATTTTTCTGCCATTACACTTTTAGGTATTTTCTAGAGAATGGAAGAGAAAGAAGAGAGTTTGAGATTTTATTGCTTAAATTATGAGTTCTCTCTTTTTTATTTATAATGGATTTTGGGAAAGCATGAAAAATTTCAATGTTCTGTAATCAGTATCTGTAATCTAAAATTTCTTTTTGGTTATTATTTTTGTTGTGAAAAATTTCAATGTTCTGTAATCAGTATCTGTAATCTAAAATTTCTTTTTGGTTATTATTTTTGTTGAATATTTTCTAAGTGCCATAATCTCAAATTCTTTCCTTTTGTTTTCAATTTTGCTGAAGAAATCTGCTATTGCTTGAACTGAATCCGCATTTCAAGGTCTAGCCTCATATACAATTTCAATCTTGGTATTCTCCTTCTTATACGTGTTAAATTTTATCATTTTCAACTACTTTAACTATTTTGTTGAAGCTTGATATGGTATGTGCAATTATTCTGTACTAGATCACCTCTAATGAAGTGTAATTTGGAGACCATTATTTATTTAGTACCTTTATATATTTTCTTATTTTATATATATATATATAAAATTTTATTAGTTAATCGCAACTTTTGTCTCTCAATGGTTTCAAAGATGTTATCTTGAATATATAAAATTTTATTTAGTAATCGCAACTTTTGTCTCTCAATGGTTTCAAAGATGTATCTGATTCTAGGTAATTTATTTTCAACTGGTTGTTGTTTGTTAATTGAATGTGCTGATTTGTTCAGCGTTTCTAGTTTTCTCATTTTTCATTTTTAAAAGCTCACAAAATCTGACTCTGTCTTTGTCTCTGACTGTGAGTAGTTATTGGTTTTTTCATTGTCTTAAAAAATGGAAAGATTTAACAGAGATGAAGATGAAATGAAATGAGATAACTGCAATATTTCTGATTCTTTTCTTGTTTTCTTTTTTACTCAATGATTTGTCATAGCGAATTCATCATTTCTCCTCCTCTTCTTTTCCATCTTTATACTTATTGATGCTATTCTCCCTTTTGGTTATGAATTGTTGATGTGTGACACGGATATGATTTGGTTAAAGGTAGGTTATATGTACTAATTTGTTTCTTTTAGGATAAAATATCGACATTACTGGCTGTTACTCTTACTGTGTTATCTATAGGCCAAGAAGTTTTGTTGTTGAAATAGAGAAAAAGAAAAGTGGTATTATCAGCTTGTTGTTTAATTGCGGTACAAAGTTGCTGTACTCCACTACCTGTCATCCCCAGACGGATGGCCAGACTGAGGTAGTCAATAGAACTCTAGGTACTTTACTTCGAGCGGTGGTTGGTAAGAATCTCAAAACCTGGGAGGATTGTTTGCCTTTTATTGAATTTGCTTATAATAGGTCTATACATTCTTCTAGTGGTTATAGTCCATTTGAGCCTGTGAATGGTTTTAATCCTTTGATTGTGCTTGATTTGTCTCCTTTGCCTTTGAATGAAATTGCTAACTTGGATGCTGAAAAGAAGGCTGAATTAGTCAGGGAGATACATGCTAAGGCCAGGGCTCATATAGACATGAAGAACAAAAGCTATGCTGATCGTGCCAACAAGTTAAGAAGAGAAAAGAGCGATTGGCTATCGGTAATTAAAGTAAAAGCTAGACCAGTAGTGGAACTACCTCAATCTTCTATAGCTCCTAATGAAGTGCATGATACCGCGTTTCAAGAAGATGATATGGATGTCCAGCCATTACAGGTTAATGAAGATGAATTGCTTAGAGCATTGAATGATCTTGATTGTTCTTATATAGATATCAATATAGTGGATGAAGCAGAAGAAGATCCATTTATCTATTCAACATCAGACGATAAAGACTCTGAAGATGATGAATGAGATGAACCTGATAATGAATGAACTTTGTTAAGTTTCCATTATGTTGTATTATTTTCATTATTAGAACAATGTAACACGGACATATTAATATATACATATTAATTATCAATTGTTTTAGTTATTTATATAAATCATTTTCATTATTTTACATATACGTAACCAAATGATACATATACTATAAATGGAGGTTATAGAAATATGGGTGGAGCCAAGGGTTGAGATAGTAATACTCATAGTCGAGGTTCATCCTCTTCTGCGGGTAGTGGACTTACTAATTCAGGCAGCAGCACATGCTCTACAGGCCGTGGTTCACAAATTCCAATTAGTGGGACTCAACAACCTCAAACACATCATACCTCAATTCAAGTTGAGGCATCAGATCCTCCACTACAGCTGCATGCCGAGCTATCTAGTTCACCTCCACGACCCGCAGCCCTACCTGTACCCTCTGAGCACTTCCTTGACCTTCATCAATAATGTCACAACCATCTTCTTCTCAAGGAACAATTGCTACAACGAATACCACTTTTGCACCTCCATCTAGTAAAAAGACCATTCAATTAGTGGGCGATGTTTAAGTACTCATGACCTTTGGCAATAACATTTTATCTATTATATTACTTGGTTAATTGCTTCATTTTGCATATACATATATATAATTACTTACACACACACACATGTGTGTGTGTGTGTGTAATACTCTAATTGTATGAATATATGGTCTTATGCAACAGGATGGAGCTGTCTCATGATACATCACAACTTATCACTAGCATTTTCCATGAGAACCTTGATAAGGATGGCTCCAGTTAGAAGAATGTGAGTTTAGCTACAAAGCAGTTCCATTGGATTGAGTTTTAGGTCAATTACTATTCTAGCATATACATAATTGAAGAATAATAGAATAATCAAAGTAATAATAGATAATAGTATTTTAATACTAATGTTCACATTTTGAAATAATTGATGTATTATATGACGATATTACCTTAATGAGAATATTTTGAGATACACTGTGAATTTTGAACTTCTAACAGGGGAGTTAAGTCCAACTTTTAGAGAAAACTCTGCTGAAATTTATTTAATAATATACAAAACTTTTTTTTTTTTATTTTGATCAAAACTTTATTCTGTTGTTATGTTGTATATATAGAAGCACTTCCAATAGGATGAAGCGACGAATAAGCTTATAAAGATTGCATGGAAGAGAAAGGCAGGTGAGAGGTATAAGAATATGCTTCATAAGCTTAAACGTTATGAAAAAAGGCCTTATGTCCAAGATGATGTTTGGAAGAAGTGGAATGATGATTGGAAAGCACCAGATTATGTTGCAAAGTCTAGCCAATTTTCAAAAAATCCGCATATTGAGAAGGGTGGCAAGGGATCTGGTCCATCTCGTCATACCGGAGGCTCTATCTCCCACGTTGAACATGTGAGACGTATGGTATGTTCTGAACTTCAATTTATTAATCAATTTTAGTGTTTATCAACTGCTATTAATTTAGACATTTATTTTGAACTTAATAGGCTGTAGAGACTGGATCAATTCCTTTTCCATGTCATGTGTTTCTTCATACCCATACAAAGAAAGATGATAGGAAGACCTTTATTTATAAGCGCACTGAGAATGTTTTTGTAAGTTTTCTTTCATTTTTTAGACATTAATATTCACAATAGTTATTAAGATTTTCATTTATTCTAAATTAACATATATATGGTTGTTGTGCTTTTTTTTTTTCTTACATTGCAGGGGACAATCTAACACCTCAAAGAACAATGATCCACGCAGCAACCTAAAAGTGGAGAAACTCCAATTAATGAGTACCAGTTGTATTTGGAGGCTGCAGGAAGAAATTATAAACATAGAGTCTATGGCATTAGCTCCCAGGCTTCCCTCTTCCACCCGCATTCTGGTATGAGTGGCAGCTCATTTAGTGCCTCATCGACTTCATCTGATGCCATGGAGTTGATTCATTCACTGAAGGAATGACAAGATGCATTTGACAGATTGCTTCGGCAACAAACAAATATGATTGCCAAATTCATAGGCATTTACAAATCAGGGCGAGCCAGCCACCAGCATCCTCAGACGCTCCTACATTTAGGTCCGGTGTTGATCCTGCGACAGATGAAGACTGAAATGATGTTCAAGGCTTGGATGGTTAGAGGGATATCTCTTAGTGAACTTTTTTTTTTTTTGTTGAATATCTATGATTAAAATGTTTATATTTGAACTTACTTACAAATTTATCTAGTATTAAAAAAGTGTATGCTAAATATGTTTGAATTATGGAGAATATGGGGCGCTGTGAATTTAGGATGTTGTCGTTGTGGATGTAGAAGTGGTCACATGTCGCGTGTAGATGGTGGGGACACTACTCTAATGAACTTACTTACCAAATTTTATCTTAGTATTAAAAAACAGTGTTATGCTAAATATGTGTGAATTGATGGAGAATTATTAATATATATATATATATATATTAATATATATATATATATATATATATATATATATATTATATATAGTGGATTTCTTTTCCATATATATAGTTTCTTTTCCATATTCGCTTTATAATTTATACTTTTAATAGGTTTGCTGAGTCCAAAATAAAAAAAAATTAAATATCTAGTAAAATAGCTACGGATTAGCTATGAATTAGTTACAAATACATTTAACTCTAGCTACAACATTGCTACAGAATAGCTATAGATTTTCACTACAAAATTGCTACAAATTGGACATGAAAACTTTTAGCTACGGATTAGCTTCACAATTTTGAATATGGATTTACAATAAATAGCTATGAATTTGTTACAAAATGGCTAATGGATTAACTACGACATTGCTACCATTTACAGACCGAATATGTAGCTACAGATTAGCTACACATTTTTTGACATTGATTGGACTCTTTATTATTACAAATTTATGGTAGCTATTTCGTGGCTAAATAGCAACGTACTATAAAATCGTAGCTATATTTTTAGCTACAAGCGTTTTAGGGACGAAAAATATTCCAAAGCCATTACATTGCAATATGCAATTAGCTACGGATTTATTAAACTTAGCTACGGAAAACTTCATAGCTATATCTCGATTTTCTTGTAGGAAAATAATATACTATATTAGGTGATACTGTGCAAGATGAAATTAAAAATAAAAATAAAAGAAAAGAAAAGGTACTACTTTTGTAAATCATTTTGGTTTAATCTACAAAAATACTCTAAGATTTGCGACTTGTTGCAAAAATACTTTAATCTGACCTTTGTCCCCCTTGGCACTTCAATTTAAAAACTTTGTTATATTATCACCCTAAAGTCAAAATTAGCTAGGGTTTTGAATAAAATCCTATTAAAATAGATCCCACAAATTAGCTTGGGTTAACTTAACCCAAGCCCGTGAAACTTATCAAAACTCCCCCGTTTTACATCGAAACACACCGTTTTGATTTGGTCTAAAATCCTAGTTCCATCGCTCCCAGAAGAGCGCAAGATTCAATATTCCTCCTGAAGCCACTGCCGTCGATGATCCATCCTCCTACGTCGAGATTACTCTCGACATCCGCGATGACTCTGTTGTCTTCCACAGCGTTCATCCGGCTAATGAAGATCCCGAATTAGCTCTGCTTGCTAAGAAGACTCTGGAGAACAAGTCTTCTTCATTTCTAAGAAGACTCTGGAGAACAAGTCTTCTTCATTTCAGTCCTTATTTCGCAATACTTCATCTCATATCAAACAAGTTTCACATGAACTTAAACGTCTTGCTTCCCTCTCGAGGAAGTCTTTTGCCGCCGGACGCTTTGATAGGACCAAGTCAGCCACCCGTAACGCTTTGAAGGGACTCCAGTTCATCACTACCAAAATTGGTGTTGCGGGAAATGGATGGCCTACTGTTGAGAAGCGTTTCATGAACTTACGACTTCCACCAATGGCCAACTCCACTGTTCTCCGTTACAGGCATGAACAAGGAATCCAAGGAGTTTGCTGGTGAATTATTCCGTGCACTTGCTCGGAAGCATAACATAAATTGTGATTCCATTATGGAAGGGTGTCATTATCGAGAAGGAACAAGACGACAAGGGGAGCGATGAAATTATGGGATTTTAGACCAAATCAAAACGTTGTGTTTTAATGTAAAATGGAGAATTTTGATGTAAAACGGAGAGTTTTGATAATTTTTAGGGGCTTGGTTAAGTTAACCAATTTGTTGGGACTCATTTTAATAATATTTTATTCAAAACCCTATCTAATTTTGATTTTAAGGTGATAATATTATAAAAATTTTAAATTGGGGTGCCATGGAGAACAAGGTTAGATTAAGATGTTCTTACAATAAGTGGCAAACCTTGAAGTATTTTTGTAGATTAAACCAATCATTTTTAAATTAATCTAACTAGTTTTTGCCATCAATCAAGAAACAAAATTACTATAATAAGTTTGTTAATCATGTGCAAGTACGTATACGTTGTGCGAAAATTATAATTTTGATATTTAATTAAAAGTAAGAGAGATAAAAAAAATCATAGTAAAACAAGAGATTTAATATTATACTACGAATTGGTCAATAATCAATTGTATACAGTATACTACCTATATTTAATTAAAAGCAAGAGAAGAAAAACAAAGGGTTAGTATAATTGAAATATATCGTTATGAATTCCATAACTGTTGATATTGTAGCAAAATTAAACTGTAAAAGCCTATGAGTTCAAATCCCATCTCCATCAATAAAATATTTTGGGTTAAAAAAAAATGAACTCGTGTAATAAAAATGTGTGACTAGCATTATGTAAAAAAATTAATTACACTACTAGTCTAATGGTGATTAGCATGGGCTGAGAAATTTATTATAATAAATAATGTTTTCACGAATTTCATAATTAGACAATTCAAATAAAACAAAGCAAATCATAAATCCAATAAGAGCACTAAAGAATGAGTTCAAAAAAATTATTTTACCATTACACTAAAGAATATTCTTCCATTACCAAACACCCCCAAATTAAAAAGACAATGTTACTCACGGGTAGATGATATCAATAATATATTGGTTGAGGTGGTAAACGAATATATTGATTGAAGTGGTAATCAGTTTTGATTTCTATAGAGACCATAACACAAGTTTGATTAATATAAATTGGGTCCAATCCATAAATTTATCTTTGTACTTTATGTAAAAAGCCTTATAGCACTTTTAACTTTTACTTTGATTTATTAAATACTTTAATTTATAAAATTATATCAATTAAATAGTTCAATTTGCAAAAATTATTCTATTAAATACGCAAATTTCTAAAATTAGATCAATTATTAAAAAATATGAAAATTATTGTTCTAAATATTATACTCACCACATAGTAAGTGAATATCTTGAACAGAAATACCAAAAACACAAAAAAATGTTATTATTAGTATACAAAGGGATGAAATATTAGCAAAATTTGTAACTTTAAAAGTATAATAGATCACTTAAGAAGTGCAGGGTGTTATAAGATTTTGTAATGTTCAAGAATATATTCATGCATTTAGACCAATAATTTGCAAAAAGTAAAAAAAGCATTCTATGGTAAAAACAACTAAAGCAAAAGCTGGTCCTTAACAAAGAATTAAAAAGTCCAAAAACTATATAACTAACAACAATTTATGTCTTGTAGCAATTAACATATGTATTGTCTGGCCGGCTATTGATGGTTCTTTCCAAGAGGTCTATTTTTCTTTCAAGATTTAACTAATTATTTATTTGTTTGCTGATATAGGCAACAGTTTTCAAGTCTACTTAAATAAGATAATTATTCCTTCAATCAATGAACAAAATTCTATTCCCATGGAACAATCTGATTGGAAATATCAGCAGCACATCAATTATGTCCTGCCAAGGAAGCACCAATATAATTTTAAATTAACTTTGATTGAAAGATTTTTTAATTTCTTCTGTTTTTTTTTTCCCAAATTTCCCTAATATAGTTTTTGTGGATGATCATTCATCTACAGAATCATATATATATTGGATGATCATTTCATCTACAGAATCATATAATATATATATAATAATATAATTATATATATAAAATTATATAATATCTGCTATTTCTAATTCCAGAAATTTAAAATTTAGTAACCATGTTATTATAAATTATATATATCTGCTATTTCTAATTCCAGAAATTAAAATTTAGTAACCATGTTATTATTTTTTCTTTTTTTAATCTTAGTATCCTTGAATTCAATTCAAGCCCAACAGTACTATGATTCATCGGATTGTTCGGTTGATACAAGCTATCCAGGTTCAAGATACACATGCAATTTCAACCAAAAACCATGCTCCGCATTTCTAGTCTATAGAGCCAACCAGAATTTCAATACTGTCTCTAGTATCTCTCGTTTGTTGCAAGTAGATGTTGATGAACTGCTTCACTTGAACAATCTTTCGTCTCCATCAGAAGTACTAGAACCAGGTAGCGAAGTTCTTTTTCCTGTTTTCTGCTTTTGTTTAGATCAATTCTTTCAGGCAAATTTAACCTACACAGTTCCTGAAACCACAACACTGTCAGATATTGCTTGCTTAGTCTTTGAAGGTCTGGTAAAATCGCATACTCTTGTTGAGGAAAATGCTTCTAAAGAAAATGAAGTTAAAGTTAGTTCTAAGCTAAATGTGCCTTTGAGATGTGCTTGTCCTACTAATTTTAGCAATGAAATAATGTTTCTTGTCACCTATCCTTTAATGGAAGGAGATACACTAAATATACTTAGCAAAAAGTTTAGTATTTCTACTGCAGATATATTGGCAGCTAATTATTTTGAACAACCTTGGCCTACTATTTATCCACAGACAACTATTCTAATTCCATTGAAAAGAAAACCAAAAATTAATTTCAGTATTCCAAACTCTCCAACCCCAACTTCTAGTTTTCTTCCTACAATTACAGTAGAAAAGAAAACCAGTAGTGCAAACTTGATCGTTCTGTATAGTTTAGTTTCAGTTGTTGGGGCTTTTTTACTAGTTATAGCATATGGATGGTATGCGAGAAAAAGAAAGATTAACAAGTTGCAATCTTTCAACACAAGAAGCTCTCCGCGTTCATGTTCAACAGGTCAAACAGGTAGAAGCTCTGCAACTTTTTCATGTTTATCGCCAGATCTTCTTGTTGGGATTAAGTATTCTTTAAAGAATTACAGTATAGAAGACCTGAAAAGGGCTACAAAAGATTTTAGTAAAGAAAGCAAGACTGGAGATCAAACATATAAAGGTTGGATCGATAATGTAGACATGATGATTGAGCAAATGAAGTTTGAAGATACTCGCCAAGTTATCAATATACATTCCAAAATAAATCATATTAATATTGTAAATATGGTTGGTGTATGCTATGGAGACAATAATGATTCTTGGTCTTATCTTATATTTGAGTTACCTTTAAACGGTTGCTTGAGAGATTGCTTAAGTAACCTATCTGGTTCGCTTGAATGGTATAGGCGAATTCAAATAGCTGTTGATATTGCTAGAGGTTTGCATTATTTACATCATTGCATTTTCCCTTCATATGCTCATAAAGGTGTGAATAGTAGAAATATTTTTATAACCGCAAATTGGAGGGCAAAGCTTACAAATATTAGAAGTAATAATTCTTATGGCTTGGATTCTGATAAGTTAGACATATTTGCATTTGGAGTAGTTCTGTTAGAGCTGATATCAGGAAGAGAAGATGTAAATGGAAAATTATATAAAGATTGGATTGGATTTTTAGGAGGCGGAGGGGCTAGTGAAGGTGGTTGTTTTGATCAATTGAAGAGTTTTATTGATCCATGTCTTAAGGATTATCCACTTGCAGATGCTTTGTGTTTAGCTGTTCTAGCAAAGGCATGTGTAGAAGACAATCCTTTGCATAGACCATCTATGGATGATATATTGAAAGTCCTTGTCAGATTGGTATAATTGATTGCAATAAGTAAATTTGTCTGTTGGTATTATCAGAATATCATTTTTTTGTATATCAGTTGTAATTCTATATAATAGTATTAATTCATGAAAAAAAAAAAACAAAAATCACCGGTTGCTTTGTTGGTTGGATTATTTGCTAGTTTTTGTCTTTATATATATTGGTACATAAAAAAGAAAAACAAAAGCTAAAACTACACCATCTGGGATAAGCTATTCCAGAAATATCATGAATAATCCAAGAATGTAGAGCAGCTGAGGGTTATCTAAAACTTCAAGACCGATCCCCAAAATTAGAAACAAACCTCACAAGCCGGTCAGCACAAGAATTAACTACGGAAGATATGAGAGACCTGGATAAACTGAAATAAAGAAAAATAACGCCTCACAGATCTCAAAAGAGAGCGAACAAAAGGACATTAACTATTTATGAAGGACTAGACATTCCAGGATTTGAATAACCTCTTGCATTAGGAACGATTAAAAAAGAACCTTAGATAGGCCAAAAATTTTCGAATTTGAACATTATAAGAAGGATAAAATAATTTTTGTATAAGTTGGCATTTGAGAAATGGGGAAGCTCCATCAATTGAGCTTGGAACACGAATTCTGCAGATACTCTCTTTGGTTCATGTTTTTTCTTTCTTTCAATGCTCTTTTATTAGTAGAAATTGTAATCAATTAGCTCATGAGTTAGCTAAATATGCTCTCTCTTATATTTTTGAGGAGCTATTGATGATCTTCCTCATCGTTTTTTCACCCTATTCTTATGGCTGATTTAACATTTTTTCCTTCTTAATTAAATTCACCATTTTCATCTAATAAATATATGTATGAGTAAAAATTAAATGACCTTTTCCATAAATCGTTTGATTTATTTGTATTGATGAATTTTGGTCTAAGTTTTCTTTTTAACTTAACATTCTTTCACTAGGTTTGAATTTTTTCCGGAAGGTCTATTGGCTTGAGTTTAACGGCTAAGATTTGTTAAATTTTTTCTGAAATTATTCATTAATAAAATTAAATTTTGCTAATTAAAAAAAAACCATAGACATTTTTAGGTTGGCCTCATTTGTTTCAAAATGACTGATTTCCTGGGAAGTACTTCCCAAGAAGTACAGAAATTATTTCTCAGAAAGTATAATTTTGTGTGTGTTTGGTACATAAATTAACTTCCTGAGAAGTAAATTGCTCTCAAACCATAAATTACAATAATATACATAATATAAATTTGAGTAAATTTAGATAATAGGATAAATTGGTAAATGCATTGCACTTAACTAGAGAAGACAACTTCCCTACCCATATTTAAGGAACTTACTTCTCTTGTGTAAGAGAAGTTGGATGATCTACTTCCTAAGAAGTAAAATTGATAACGCAAATCAAATACAAGCATTTTATGCACTAGATGAGAAGTTGCATTCCCCAGTCAACTTACCCCAACCAAACATCACAAAAACCTTTATTCATTTGTTTTTGTCAAAGAAAAAAATAATTAGAGAAACTGAATTGCCAATAATTACTAATCAGAACCAGTTATTTGGTTTCTTTCAGTTGCCTTTGATCTTATGCTGATTAAATATTATATTGCCAGAGTAAGAAAAAACAAACTATAAAAATTTGCCTAAAAAATTAACAAAATAAAAATAAAAATAATACTTTTATTATTAATTAATAAATCATGACTAGGCAACATAAATTATTCCTCTTCATGCACACAAGCAATCACTAACATTATTACACTGAAGTAGCCAAAAAGAATGAAAAATGAAGGAAAGAAACAATGATGAACTGAACTTATTTATTTATACCTAATCAGTATAATTTGTATATGTGAGTATTTTCAATGTTCTTTATATTCTTCTGGCCTATAAAGTTGAACTGAGCGACCATTTGTTGGTTGTAGTGGTCTTGCGTTTGTGTCCGCTTCCTGCAAATTAAAGATATTATCATTAGCAGATGAACTCTAATTAATAAATAATTAATTAATTATGCAAGATTTTTTTTTGGGGGCAAAAAATGCATGGTTTCAAAAGAATCGGAAAATATAGTTTGTCCAATTTGCGATTAGTAATTTTAAAATATTATATAAGTAGTTGAGTCAAAATATAAATAAAACTTACATCATGTACGGCTACGCGGAGTAATTCCACTTGTTCCTTAGTTACAGTCCTTACCTGAAAATAATTAAAGGTTTAATTATTCTATTAGAAGAAGAAATTAATTGAATTAACAACTTTAAGTGCATAATTAGAAGATTTTGATTTTAATTAGGTTAAACCTTTCTAGAAATGGTCCAGACAACATTTTCAGTGCATGGAGGAACTGTAAGAGATCCTATATATCTATAATACTTTCTGCTGCCGATTTTGATGTCCTTTGGATTAACTATGCCCACCACTGTCTCTTCTTCCTCAGTGCCGGAAACTTCTCTTAATTTTTCTGTGAGCTGATGGGAAACGGAAGAAAAAAAAAAAAAAAAATTACTGATGGGAAAACGAAGGAAAAAAAAAAAAAAAAAACATTAGAGAGAAGGAAACGGTGGAATAAAAAAAAAAAAAAAAACATTAGAGAGAAGGAAACGGTGGATTAATTGGAAACTGAACGGCCTTTTCATTGTCGCCGGAAAATGGTGGTGGTGGTTAAGCTAATTATGTTTTACTCACAGAAGACAAGAAAGAGTCTGGCCTTCCTATTATGTACATAATCCCAACAACAGCAACCTTTCCATCTTGGCTCTCATGAACCATGTGCAGCTCTAGAGCAAACCTGCAATTACAATATATGGAAGAATAATTAGACTTAATTAATTAGTTAAAAAGTTATCTCCCTGAGGTAGAGTTAGAGGAGAATTATAATAGCATATACAAATACCTTCCGCCATCGATGGTGTGCTCAGAAGGAGAATGCCAATGGCACTGTCTAAGAACATATTCAGTTCCGTTTATTTCAATAGTTCCTGCACCATTTTCCCATTCCAACTGCATCCACAAAAAGTAAAAAAAAAAAATTAGAAGTTTATAATAATTGGGAATGAAATATAATTTTGCGTATCAATGCCAACCGATTCATTAATTATGAGTTTTTTTTTTTTTTTTCTGATTTGTTCTTTTTTTGCTTTGGTTTAGGTCTACTTAACACATCTCACCAAACACGACTTTGAGGTGTAAACCAAGCATTTTCTTTCTAATCACTTCCGTGAAAGTTTTTTTTTTTTCTAAGGTTCATTTTGGGTAGGTTAAGCTGGCAATTGTTTTTGTCTCATATATATGGATTTGGCATCTATATATAAATATAATTATTACATGTGATAGACATCACACATACATATATACATGTATAATGCTTAATTGAATTTATTTACCATCATATCATGGCCTCTATTCTTAAGAGTGGCATTGGAGGGCTTGTAACTTCTTTTAAGTTTCCCCAAATGGGAGACCACTTCAACTCTTTCATTTAGCAAATCAATAGGAGACTGCATCGTTCCGTTGCTACATGTACTCCATTCCGGATGAAGTTCTCCCCATCGTTCTGGCCCTGTTTCACTATTTTTTTCATAACTGAATTCTCTTTCGTCCTCTGAAAAACACAAAATACACACATATATTAATGATATACAAAAAATATAAAAATTTTCAAAAATAATTTAAAGAAATTCAATTAATTCTTAATTTAATTTTATACAAATTGTAAAAAAGATGCCTTACCGACTTCTTGAGATGATGATGGAAGAGCATGAAAGAGAAGAGAAATGAAGAAAGTGAAACACAATAATTGAATCGCTAGCTTTCCCATATCTATATATTAGTGCAAGTTGAAATTGATCAGCTATAACACCTCAGAATTAATGTTTGAGAGCTTTGTGATTGTTTATGGAATATCCAAAGAAGAGGCATATATGTGCTTTTATAGTATTAATCTCCAATATGAAAACAAGAAAGGAGACCAAGTTGACTATGGAATAAGTTTTTGTTTGTTTCTTAAATATGATGATGAATTCTCCATTTTAGGTTTAAATGTTTGAACATTGAAACTAAGGCTGCGAGAAAATTAATATACAGTCAACCTTTTTCCTTATTTGTAGTCTCATGTATTATGATGACACTTAGGAGAAATATCAGCAGGTGTTCTATGTTCCTTTCTTTTAATGGCTTCTTTTGTAATATAATATGAAATGGTTTAGAATTATTTATTTATTATTTTATGTTTAAGTGGTTTTGCTTTTGGTTTGTTTGATACAAATAAACTCTATAAAATTTTTTAAACTTTCTGATTATGGATTCAGAATTGATATTTCTAGAACGTAGAAAAAATTTATCAGAAATTTAAAATTCTACGAAATTGGTTAGATTTTTTTTAAGACATGAAATTAATTAGTTAAGCTTTATAAATAAATTCTACACTCAATACAAAATTATAAAACTACAAATGACTTGTTAATTTATAGTAATTGAATTCTACACTAACTATAAAATTGAAAATTCATTTACAATAATGATGTCTATTAAAATTCAATAATCTTGAAATGAATAAACATAAATTTTTATTTAAAATAGAATCTTTTTTTTGATTTATAGGGAGGTCCGATGGGCTGAAATGACGCAGCAAGCTACACAGTAGACTTGTGATCGAGAGGACTCGAACTCGAGACCTCTCACTTCTCATATAAATCAGAAAACCAACCAGACTACACCTAATTGGCTTTAAAATAAAATCTTAATAAAATGAATTTTATGTTGATTTATTTCAAACATAAGGTAAGCCTACTTTTTTTTTTTAATTCTAAAAAGTAGATCATTCACACTAATATTAAAGGATTTGTAATATGCATTTATATAATAATCATTATTTAATATATAAATTTAAAAAGTGACAATACAATACCATTCAAAGGTAAGCGTTAGGTTTGGAACATAAACATTTTTTTTATTTATCAGCCAATAAGAAGTAGATTTTATTAAAAAATGGTGTGCATAATAATACAAAGACATATAAAAACTAATTAATTTTTCTTCTTCTAGAACCCATTTAATTTAATCTATGATAAGATGAATTGAATTATATATTGATCACGTTAAAAATGGGGATGCATGTAAAAGTTTGGGTGGGGGTTGGTGGTTTTAGGTGTTGATCAAACCAATAAGCTTGATTAATTTTGTATTAAAGGGGAATAAACACGCTTTCGGTAGTCTTTCTTTAATTATTTTTTTCTAATTCCATTTACCATTTTCTTTATTTTTGACCTAACTGTTCTCTAGCAGGTTTCATGAACAAGAATGGTGTGGTAGTTGGATTGATCTTGCATTAACGGTCCTAATAAAATTAATTAATAAATGTATAACAAATTTATTTGTCAAAAAAAAAAAAATGTGCGTTTCATATCACATGTATCAATCTTTTGATTATATATATTTATTTGTCAAAAAAAAAAAAATGTGCGTTTCATATCACCCCTGTATCAATCTTTTGTTATATATATATATATATATATATATATATATATATTATATTATATATATGATTTGCTGATTTGCGCTATAGAACAATTCAAACTACTTAATTTATTTTAACGGAAGTTTGATTGAAACGCATTAATTTATTAATAAAAATAAATCAAATTCAAATATAAATTGAAATTTAATTATTTTCTATGAGAAAGTTGATTGCTTATAACTCGATTCTAGAACTCGTATATAGCTCAAAATTGAAAGTAATTATTTTTGTCTTTATATTATCTTATTTTATAAACTTAATTATCAATTAGTAAAAGTTAATTAGATGAAAGTAAATTTTTGGTATGTAAACTGGTAAGCAGTTTTTAAAATATAATTAAAATTATCAATAAGGTGTTGGTTGAGATGATTAACGACCTCAATAAGCGTAAAGTTGAGCTAAAAATCTTAACGCTCTATAGCTCGAAGGATTAAATCTTCTTGTCAGAAAGCTCTATAGCCTCGAAGCGATTAAATCTTCTTTGTCAGAAAAAAAAAAAAAAAAATAAAAAATATAAATATATATTATATATAAATATATTATATATTATATATATATATATATAATTATTCGTTCATATCAAACATACTTACTTTCGTCTATTGATACTAGTCACATCTGAGAAAATAAGTTGTTTTAAACAAATAGTCCACCTTCGCCGATTTTCCAAAGTCGGTAATAAAATGTTCTTTTTTCACAATTTACTATATATAATTATTGTTCATATAAAATACTACTTTCGTCCTATGATACTTGTCACATCTGAGAAAATAGTTTGTTTTAAAATAGTCACATTTGCGATTTCAAAGTGTAATAAATTCTTTTTTCACATTTACCCTTTGTATTTGTGTTTCCAAAATCTCTTCACCACTATGATTGGACAAAACATGAGAATTGAAGGGTCTAAAATTTAATTTGGTATTTGGATATATTAAATTAATGATAAAATAGTCAATTTACTTAATAATTTATTATAAGATAGATAAATGTAATAGTTTTCTTAAGGAACGTGAAATTCTAAATATGACAAATATTTTAGAACAATGGTAATAATATTCTTTTCTTTTTTTTAAAAAAAAAAGAAACTTCCTTCTAAATGTTATTGCAACAAATTATTTGAAAACTATATGTTTATTTATTTTAAAGTTTCATAACCATAATAGTTCAAATTTATTATAAAAGTAACTCTATTTGAGCAATAGTGAGAGAAGGTTAAACCTATTGAACAACAATACAAAACATATATATGTTTTAAATGAGGATATTTATGACCATTCACTGAAAAAAGATACAGTTATTTAAAAATTTATATTTTTATTGATTTGATTCGTAAGTAGAGTCATGGTCAAATTTGTTTAGTATAATTCTTTTCATTAGCTAATTTCTGTCTAAATTTACAATTTTTCTTTAGGTCCCTAATTTAAGTTTTCCGCCCCCTTAGAAGAGGCATTCAAATGTGTTTTGTCCTTCCAAAAGAGACATTCAAACATGTTCCTGTTTCCTTTTTAATACATATAACAAATTTTGACTTGAAAGAAACTTCGGATTGATAAATGGAATTCAAGTTCAAGCCCTTATATATATGAACATCGATATATAAACATACACACACTAATAATCAATTAAAAACATTTTGTCATGTGCTTTTTTGTTGTCCTTTGAATAGCTTATATAATTAAATAATTAATTTAGAACCCAATTACGAAGTTTCTCACATGATCAAATTTCATTTTCCAGCTAACTCTTTGAACATTATTTGTTTATCTTCTTTTTTAAAAGTGAGGTACGGTAGCCAAAGTCAAATGGATTTAACTCATAAGAAAATTGGGGTAACGTGTAAATTTTATCCCACTTTGACCGATTATCTTTATGGTCTCTTGATCTTTGCGAGGATTGAAATATAACTCTAAATTTTCACATTTCAATAATAATTATATCTTTTACTAAAATGAAATATCTTTCCAGAAATTTAATTTTGACCATATATTTTTATATTTTATTTGACAAGAGGTATAATTATTATTGAAATGTGAAAATATATAATTATAATTAGCCGTAAAATTCAAGAGGCTATAAAAATAATTGTCGAAAATATAGGGTGAAATTTATGTATCGGGTCTAATAAATTTAGAATTGTAATTTGCTACCTACACATTCATCTCTATTGGTCTTGGGAAATATCTAGGATAATGACCGTGAAAAGTGTAGAAGATTTTCAAACGTCAATGAGCTAAATTCAAATAAGTGGGAACCCAGAATAGTTTGTATGACATCACAAACCATTACAGCGACCTTCTATTATGAAGATTCTGAAAGTTGGTATTTTTTGAAAGAAGAAAGTGGCATATATGTGACTTTGAGATATAAATGAGCAAATTAGACATTATGAGACTAAAAAAATTATTTTTATTAGCAAATGGTCTCCAGCGGGTGATGCTTTGGAACTTGATATTTCTAGAAAAAAAAAATATATTTTTTAAGATTCATCGCCAATCTTTTCCAATCAAAATTAAAGAAAAGGCATTTAATTTTAAATTTCTTATATCACTAAATAGTCATTCGAACATTAATTGTCAAACTAGGACTAATTAGTTTCTAAATTCCAATAAAACTAGCCTAATTAATTAATATGATTAAATGGACTACTGCTAATCTATTTTATCAAGATTCAAATTCCATAGAAAAATTATAATGAATATGTATTTTTTTTTAAGCATCCTAATATATAATATGAATATTTTTCTTTAATTAGATTAAAAGATTTTGACATTTGATAAGGAAGGTTGCAAAAATAAATAAACCCTCTTTGAAACATATTTTCTAAAACAGACATCATGAGTTTCTGAATTGAATGGAAGAATCGGTAGTTAGTCGTAGCGCGTCATGACCATTTTGGGAAATGCGAAGGGAAGAATACAAGAAAGAAAAGAGTTATCAAAGCCATCAACTAAATTATATTATTTTCTTTTCGAAAAAAAACTCAATTTGCCCTTTAAATTTACCGTCTTTATTCAAAGTGAACAAAAATGACATTTTTTTTTTGTCAAATTTAGCAGCAACTTGTACAAATTAATTCAAAATACCTATATTTTTAACTTAGATCAGCACGTGTGTTATTCACATATTTCAGTGCGCGTCTAATAAAAACGGATACACTTAAAAACAGTTAAATACAACCGCTCACTATATTATCTCTTTCTTCACCCTCACCCAACCTTCACAGCAATAGGTGCTACACCCATATAAGCCATTTGTAGGACCAAAAAACCAAGATTTTTACCTCAAGTTCAAAAACCATAAATCTATGTTGCCTTTTTCCATTAAAAATATTGACATTTGAGAATATCTTTTTTTTGTATATTTTGAATTAGCTCTTAATGTCAAATACATACATA